CTTACCCCCCACGATGTCCGCCCCCCGCCCCCCGAGGTGGTGGGGGGGTTATTTTGGGGGATTGTACCCCACCCAAATTTTCAAGCTTCCAAGGTTGAGAAACACTGGCTGGAGGTGACAGAAGACCTCTTACAGTCTAGATCTGATCCACTCTTTTAAAAAGGGAATCTTCTTGATGAAATTGAAAAGCTGATATAATTTCGATATTTGAATAGCTAGACATTCGGTCATTGGCTTTTCCCTCGTTTTTATTTCTGTATTTGTAGATAATGTGAAGGTTTTCTCTTGTTTCTTTTGTTTCTTTGTCTTTTAGTTGTTTAATTGTCTTTTTGGTGTTGTTCTCGTTTTCTATTTTTTTTTCCTTCTGTTTTCTAGGCAGTATGCAATAGAGTTCGTTATTTTTTTCTTTTTGGTTTTGGGATCTAGGTGATTATATAATAGGCTAGGTTTTTTCCCGCCAAAGTATATAATATTTTATACCACAATAATATAGTGATATAGCTTAATATGAAATTTTTTTAAGCGATGCAATGATTTTTAAAGATCACTTTTTTTCATCCAAAGCAGAGCTGATCTTGCTCCTCTCTCCTCCATCAGCCAAACAGGAGTGCAATTTCCTGCTCTCTTCTGTTTGAATATTCCTTAGCAAGGAAAAATAATTCAGTATTGGATTTCCCCCAAACTGTAGGATCTCTCTGCTCTTAGGAAATTAGTGAAAATACTTTTCTTTTGTTAGACGTTTATTCTGGGTTTTGTTATATCATTTTATCATGTATTTATGACTTAATTTTCTTATTTTAATTCTCTTCCGTTTTGGTAGCAGGAAGATTTCCCAAAAACACAAAGGTGCCATTTTTCCCTTCTTCAGCAGGGAGCGCTGTGATATAGAAATTCATTTTTTCAGTATTATAGCACCTTCTACTGATAAAGACAGGCAGCCTTATTTAAGATTAAACCTGGAGTTCGCAAACTTTTTCAGGCTGCAGAACTCAGTTAACTGGGGAGGAAAAAAAGTCCCAGAGCCTCTGCTCAAGGGGCAAAGCTCTAGGGATAGAAAACTGTCTTGTTTGAGTAAACTGTTTTTTTCCCCTCTTAGTCTCTCACAGAATTGCATCAAATGCTTGCAGAATTGTAGGGTCCCATGTTTTAAAAAACCTGGGTTAAACAACCAGAGAGAAGTCACCAGAGTTAATGGGGCCCAAATGGTTGCTCCATTTTTTTTGGGTAGTGATGGTGGTGTTGGGGTTAATGAGATTGAAGGTATCTTTTCACACACACTGCAACCCATCATCCACCCCCAAGAGTGTGAAAATTGGAGGAATCAGAAGAGAGTCTGGGGGTGGAAAAATATGCACTGGCAACCACGGGTTGACCATAGGCTAATTTTTTGCCCCTTTGAGGTAAAGAGGATCTTCATCTTTCGATAAGGTTTTGTCCACATCTCTAGCACCTAAGCAGGATCCAACCTGGACTTGAAGGGGGGACACCAGCAAATCCCAAGGCCACAGGCCAGACTGAAGAATCAAAAGCCATTCCAGAAGAAGGCCATCACAAACTCCTTTTGTCTTGTTGCCAAGAAAACTGCAGAGGATGCATTCAAGGCTTGACCCTGAATGGAGGCCAAGGGGAAGCAGAGTTTGGCATAACTTTGCTCCAACTCAAACGCATGAGCACCTGAGACATACCTTGTAAACATCATGGTGACCTATGATGGCATCAAAGAGAGTGTAGAGGTCATTGAGGAGGTCCACAATTTCAATAGGCTCGCAGAGGGTGCACATGGTGGTGAAGCCAATGATGTCACTGAAGTAAATGGTGACCTCTTCAAAATATTCTGGCTCAACAGAGGCTCCTGTTTTCAGCGTTTCTGCCACTGACCTGAAACAGCACTAGGAAGTCATCTGGACCACTTGAGAAGGAAGAGAACCATCTGAGGCAGTGTTTCTCAACGTTGGCGGTTTTAAGATGTGTGGACTTCAACTCCCAGAATTCCTATTCAATTCTGGGTGTTGAAGTCCACACATCTTAAAACCGCCAACGTTGAGAAACACTGATCTAAGGCAATACAGGGGTGGCTGGAAGATGGTGAACACTAGCACATGCGCACACGGGCTGCAATTTTTATCTGCAATGACTTTCTGATAAGAGCCCCGTAGTTCCCAAATCAGTGAACAGATGCAGACTGCCCTGTCTTCACCAAAGATGCAAGCTTCCAGCCCTTTACATCAAAAAAACACCACCACCAACAAGAGGAAGAAACAGACAACAGTTTTGCCATCAGAAATCACCTATATAAAGGTAGCTTATTTGAAAGTAAGGTACTAGCTGGAATTCTTGGGTTGTAAGATTAATCCTCTTTCTAATAAATACTATTAATCAGGGATTCATCTAATCCTAGACTCTTGGTTCTTGGATGAACTGTATTTAGTTTAGACTGCGAGGAGGGAAATCTGGCAGGGCATGCCACAGTATATAAACAGAGAGCAAACCCCATCCCATTCTAGCACTGA